CGCAGTCAGAATCTTCCCAGCTGGCCTGACACTTACTTAACCCCTTAAAGCAGAAGTTTGTTCAAATAATAATCGCATCCATCCCACAAAAGAAAACACTACACTTCATCGTTGCAAAGTTAAGTTTCTTAACGTTGTTTAAGAAACAAATAATCGCTGTTCATACACAAAAATTCAAAAGAAACACATGAAAAATGTAGAGTTAGTTATTAATTTTTTAAAAAAAAAAAAGTAATGAAAAGTTATCACCAGGCTTTGAAGGGATGATTAACAATTATTGACTGACAATTAATCTTTCATTTGCAGAATCTAACAGCAGTGGGAATGGACAAAGATTGGAATGTTACGGCTGTCGACAGTGACTCGGAAGGTCTGGAGTTCGTGTCCAGCTTCGAACACAAACTACACCCCTTCTACGGGGTACAGTTCCACCCGGAAAAGAACTCCTTCGAATGGAAGGCGACCAAATACATCCCACACACTGCCAACGCCATTTTGGTGCAACAGTACTTTGCCAACTTCTTTGTAAAAGAAGGTAACGTTTTTCTTTCCCGCGTCTTTTTCTCTGTTCGCTGCTTTCATTTGTTGACCATTACAAACGCGGAGAGAGATAACTCGTTACTTCCCAGTGATATCGAACGCGAAACTGTTACGTTTTATCCGGCCAACCACCACATCGAAAACTGACCCACAGTCGATATCAACGACCTTAGATCAGATTACTGAAATAAAAGTACGGGTGTCCCCTTTCACTGTCTTAAATGTAACCGGCAACATCGAGGTCAGGAAACAAAGACAGTTGTCTTCATATGAGAATCACACTGCGGGCAAAATGAATAATTAGTGAATGGTAAAGCGATTTTTTACGTGTTTTGTGATATCAGGTAAATTATTCAACACAGAATGACGTAGTATTACAAAACGTGCATGCTGGCCTCCCAAAACTTATCATTCACGGTGTATATGAATCATTATTATGTGCCATGATAACACAAACAGAAGACTTGCTCTGTTCTTACCTGAGAAATCACCGTAACTCTGTCGTACATCACCGGGTACTACAATAAACAAGTCAGTAACAACAGTTCACGTTTTGAGATTTAAGAGTAGCTGCGCTGTTAACTACTTAATATTACAAGACGACACCGCGTCATGACACATATCCTGAAGATGGACGCGATATTTTTCTCCGAAATGTTTAACACGGTGCCATCACCTAGAAGACCACTGCACACGTTCATGATTTCTGTGTATCACCTACACATAATGCATGGCCAAAAATAAACACGACTGTCGAAAAACATGACGTGCTGGCTTACGTACTAGAAAATGACTCTGAAAGAACATGCTGTTTTTTTCTTTCGTGGCAAGAAAGACGTGAAGTGAATCCTTGTGGATGTCAAAAACGAACAAAACAAACTGTTTATTCATTAACAGCGTCGTTGCAGTCCACCTGCTGCTATTTGTGGCAAGAGAAATATATAAACACCAACAAACAATCCAGATTTAAGAGCGAAGCGCACGGGTCCTTAAAGGCTTTTACTTCCATTTCTCTCACCCCCCCATGGACATTTTCTCATTTACAAAACCGAGAGTTGTAGTACGACTATGTTTCGAAAGAATGTACTTCAAGCAATTTTTAGCACATTACTAGTGTGAAGAGTTTATTTAAATGTTTAAATTTCATCCAATATAATGCATTTTTATTCTATAATTAGCGGGATAGTGTACGGTAGACGGAACAGCCACTACAGCAGGTGCATGGCTTGTGCACGTGGTGATTTCGAGTGCAGTACTGTGCTTTCCAAAGAAGAGTTAACAGGTGTCGGGGTTTTAACGGTGACTTCTTGAAGTTTAATTTGTTTTTTTTCCTCAAGAGAATGGATAATTTTGCTTTTCCCAAACGAACCCCGCGCGCGTTTAGCAAATATTGCAACACTGCGGCCACAAGAGCATTCCTTCACTCTTATATCTGGAAGCAATGTAGTCAGAAACATGAGGGGGGGATATGTGTAAAAGGCAAGGTGACTGATTACTCTAATCAGTCACCTTGCAGTAGATAAGGATGACACGCAATATTATTTCCCAGCGACAGTACGTCACTGATCCCTGTCTTATTTATTACGTCGGTTATGGGGCTTCCCCGGTTTCTCCGTGGCATCCCAACAATTACTCCATTCACACACAGAAGAAGGCAATGGCAAACCTCTTCTGGATTATCTGCCAAGAACGTATATGAACAGGTCCCAGTCCGAGAAAAGGATGGAAGGATCTGTTCATATGGACCTGTCGTCAGACAGAACACTAAATAAATAATAATACATTACATTACATTTCATTACATTCAGCTACCACAGACCCATCTTAAGCGTAATTAATTCAAGTTAATTAAGTAATGTCTTAATCAAACTTTACGCAATTGTAAATCATGTATAAAGGGAATATTTAGAATAAAGCCAATATATAAACTTCCTTTCCGTAAAGACGTATTTACGTCAAATTCTCTGGAACCGTGGTTCCACTGACAACTTTTTCTTCTGTTCGCAAGACAGTGACGTAGACGAAACGCACAGTATTGTCCTGGGTACTGTAAATGACTTAGCTTAATGTATTTTGAACTGGAATACGTCGGATTGATCGGACTTCCTCATCGCCCACACCTTCACTGATGAAGATCAGGGTTCAGCTCCTCAGTCACCACAGTAAATCATCTGCTCACCCCGCCCTAAATGAATCAATGACCTCATTAATTACCTAAGTAATTCATATCTGTCTCTTTATGGAATGTCCCAACTTCCAATTTGTTTAATGTTTGTTCATAATTTGTCTTTGTCTTTGATTACAGCCCGAAAGAACCATCACCAATTTCCCTCGCAAGACGACGAGGAGGCAGCTTTGATTTATAACTATCAGCCGACGTACACAGGGAAGAATGATTCTACTTTTGAACAATGTTACTTCTTCAGTGACTGACATTGGTTCATTGTTTCGAATGAGGTCAAATGAAAGCCCGAATTTGAACAGTCCTTAACACAGATACCTGACTACTAATGTGTACTGTAGACAACAGCACAATGAAATGAACTAGTTATACACAATAAAATAAAATGTAAAAATATGTTTTAATATCCCGCAAATATAACATTCTATGAAAATAATTCAGAGATGCTTACTTCCTCAAACATCAGGGCGGTGGAGGTAGTTTGCACCTCTGAAACGTCGATCAATTTCTACAAGACTGCCCGAACACAGTCATCTTAATACTCACCGCCGTGAGAACCTAAAATCTCACAGCCTACTGCACCTCCAACGTCGGCCTGGACGCGAACTGTGGCAGGGTAACGGGGGAAACGGTTTTGGGCTCACATTCGAGGATTTCCGGTACGACATGAGAATAATTCTTGCGCAAGAAATTTTTCAGAAATATTTTGATTTTATCACTTTCTATGGATGTGAAACGTATTTTCGAACTCTGCGTGACACTACTGGACGATCAGATTAAGGGCGGTGAGATTGACGGAACATGTAGCACAGCAGAGAAGAAATGAGAAAAGCATAGAAAGTTTAGATGGCTGTCTACTGGGTTGTTGCGCCGTGTAGTCTGGTAGAAGTTTATCGACGTTTCAGAGGTCCTTGATGCCTCATTTATTAGGCCGATGCGTCCATCATCCGCCACGAAAACCTAAAATCCTACTGGATTAATTTGCCTTCGGATAATCAGTGACTGATTAAGAATGATCTTCGGTGTCCACCACCTGATCGACTATTAACTTCTAAAGAAATCTGTTGGGCAAATTGGCACTGGGATAATTATTTATACTAGTCCTTCGCTTTTCCCATATCAGTATTATTACAGCTTCGTTTTCTCTCTTGTATCTCATGGGGGATGGAAAAAAAATGGACCATTAGCGACTCTTTACAAAGAAGACATGGTCTCACCCCATCGAGACAATAACCAACATGTCACTCACATTGTCTCTTTATAAATTCCTTTCGGTTCTCAAAACAAGCTAAACAGCAAAGTAATAGCCCAAATTATTAACTATTATTTGGACAAGATTTGTCCTTAAATTATTAAATTTACGTAGTCGAACAAATGTAACGTGGCAATTGTACCATCAGAAATTTACTAAATTTTTATTTTAATGTACTATACTGTACTGCAGATGCACGAGTATATTTATAATTCTAATAAAATAGATCGTTCTACCACCCAGCGTTGAACAAACACAGTGTTTGTTCAATTGTAACGCGCAGTGAGACGATGTAACAACATGATTCACCTACTGTTCCATCTGATTCAACTAACATCAACCTTGGGCGAATGAAACTGCGAAATTAATTGCATCATATTGTCTAATGGTCGCTATAAATAACATACCTCAGCCAGAAATGTGTAGTGGGTCTCCGCCCCGCTACACAGCCTGATAATGTCCACATTTGAATAGAAAATATCATTAAAATACCAAGGAAAATCAAAATCCTGTTTAGCTACCAGCCCAATATATTTTTTAACATTTAACATTTACAATACATTAATAAAATATTATTCTAAAAGAATGTGGTTACAAGAACACACGTGCAAGTATTTTAATTTGCTGTGTATGTAACATAAGAGTCGTGTTCTTGAGGAACACTGCTCTTGTATTAATCTCCTTTTGCATTAAACCCTTTTTTCACAAAATTTTTTTTAGATGAACTGAGAAGATGCCATTAATTAAGACAGTATTTTATTACGTTCTGCCAAACTCGCGCATAGAAGAGGCCCCTCCCCCCCTTCAGCAGAACGCCCTTATTACGTCATATTTAGCTATTTTTCAACCTCTTCCGTGTATTTCACGGTCACCCAGTGTGTGTGCAATTGGTTCCAATGTAGGATGGAATAATACATTACGAGGGAATCGAGGCGCGAAAATAATTTCCCGCCAAAGTTACATGAATACTGGGGTTACCAGTTTCGAATGAACTTTAGTGAAAATTAAGCTTGAAGCGTACTTCCCAGTAACCATTGGAGGTTAACACAGGAGCCAAACAGATGTCTCTCATATTAAACGTGTTTCGATATCTGTTAAATTTCGTTATTTCAATTTAAAGTGTCATTGTCCAGTTACCCAACGTCGTGGTAGAATTATCGGTACTCCTTCTTTGTATTATAGACACCCCGGGTTCGATCATCGGCCCTGAGATAGACTAACCTGATAATTTTGTTAGTTTTCTCAGCAACTAGTGAAATTGTATTACATACGGGAATGATTAGAAATATATCGAACAGTTTTGTCAGAAATCTTGTAATATTTAAGACAGTAGGATAATATTAATCTATATCTCAAAGAATTTGGAAGGATGTTGATCAGATTCAAATGACTCAACAATACGAACAGTATGTTATGAATGACAAATTTTTTGGATTGCCATGGCAGTTTATTGAAAACGATTCATAAATCTTTTGGGGTCAAGTTCAATTTGCGTTACGAATTGTGTACATTTACCCAAATTTTCATTAAATTTACCTACTTAATTGAGCTGGTTTGTATGACGTTAATACCATGACTGGTTTAACGACGGTTTATCAACTGCATAGATGATACAGTTTTGAATGACTTGATGTTGAAGTGGGAACGATCCGGAGGGAAACTGTAAGGTTCTGAGAAAACACTAAACACTTTCAGATGGGGTCCTCGCTGGGTCTGAGTACGAAACAATGACTCGGTATTCAGCCGAACGTTCGGTAAAGTACCATGAGCGGGCGAGCTAGTATGCCAGCCGGCCGGTATCACAGTCTGCGTGGGAGTGCCTGGCACTCCATGGTGAACCTCCCCAGGCTTTATCTCACAGTCAGTGTGAAGCAGAATGGCGAATGTCGAGGTGGTGTTGCTGCTTGGGTTACTTGTTGGTGTGTCTGCCCTAAACAACAAACCGATCATAGGTGAGTTGTTACAACTAATTGTCTCCGTGGTACCAAAATTACAGCCTTTTATTGAACCCGAAAACTCATTATTGTGTTTACAAGTTCCCGCCAATGGACGTCATATTAAGCCAGCTGTCTCCACTCAAAAGTCCCAAGATTTTTTAAGATAAATTATTTGAAGATGGCGTAATTCGTACACCGACAATTTTGTACACTATACCTGGAAGGAAAATGCCACACGGGAGACGTGTATATCGATGGTATGAACGCGATCTGACTGTGAAACTTCAGCCTTGATCGAACTGATTCGTAGTATAACCCAATCAGAACCGGATTTACAGCCGGGGTTGGGGATTTGTGGTTATACTGCAAACATAATTTTTTTGTGTAATCAATTGATCGGTTTCCGGCAATGATTACATGGGCGTTATTCGCCGTCAAAAAGGAATTTTGATTTCATGTAAGCCCTGAACCTAACGATAGAATTCTGCGCACACTTTGACAAACCTTCGGGTTCCTTAGAATCAATTTCGAAACCAAAATAATATAAAATACGGCGACCCCCCGTGGTTTGGTGTGAGAAAAAACTGCTTTTTGAATTTACCGGTACGTCATCGTGACTGAGATACTGCTGTGCCCGTCACGCTCGGTCGCCATATTTGTAAATATGCTTGTATTTTACTTGGCCTTCACAAAAGCTTACGTGAACGCGTACAGCAACGCGTTTTTGACAGAAAACATATCAAACAACGTTCTTATGGTTAGTACTGAACGTGTCTACGATTGGAGTGGATAAAAATGAGGCTTACGTGCATCGTTAGCGGAAATGAACACAAAAGCTTTCAAACTTGTCACGAGATTCACACAGGCAACTTCACTGGCCTTCAAATTCATTTAACGCATAGACAAACTTGTTAAGCCAGTGACACTACAGATACTTAAGTGTGTACCTGATATTAGTAATATGTACATTACTTAAAAGTATGAGGTTTGGGGCTTTTCGGCGTAGAAAAGTTAAATTGATCGCGGGGGTGCGACACGAAGTCAAAATGTCCCCCCTCTCCCCGAGATATGACGATTATTAATATTACTGCGAAGAATTTGAACCCCGAATATCATTAGGCCAGATTATCGTTAATGTAGGCCTGCGTTTTAGGTTATGTACCAATCAATTCTTTTCGAATATCCGCCGTCTTCCCTCTTTATCCACTTTGCGTATTATGTATCCGTGGTTTTTACGTATAGGCCTGCGTGTTTAGTGAAGGAACACAGCGTAAGTTCTCGTTAGTGTCGACAGCGGTTGATGTTTTCCTACCCACAAATTCTCTTGCCATTTTCAGTGGTTTTAAGCTACGCTGCTGTCTCGGTATGCTGTATTATACAGTGTGTTCCATTTTAAACGCAATTTATGCTACATATGACCCCCTTCACACAAAACAATGCGAAACCGATTGTAGTATTGAATTATTGTAGCCGTTTCACGTCATTGCAGGCACTTTCAGTAATTTCAACTGCTTTCCCACTCGATACGCATTTGTCAAACATCCTGTGTCCCGAAATTTTGTTACCAATGCCTACATTGTCTTAGGTATTTAGTGCTGAAAGCTTCACGAACATGAGACGATTTCTATGCGATGTAATACTACAGAAATATCACACGTTCTGCTCGTGAATTCGCCTATCTTCGCACATCACAGATTTTGCGCAACTGACGTGAGTAGCGGCCTAGCAACCAGGATCTGTAACTCGAGTGTCACGTGTTGGTTGAAGGACTTGCGGCGTTGGACCTGCTTATGATTTAATTTGTTACTTTTGTACATATTTATTGGGTTGTTTTGCGTTAATATGACACACTGTACAAAGCGGTTTACACATTCAACGACGCGCATTATTAAACAGGAAACACGCGGTTTTCTGCTACGGTTACCTGACGGAGTTGTGAGGAAAAACGAATTTGTCATATCTGGACCACAAAGGAAGAAATAACAGTTAATTAACACGACGTAGAACCGTCTCAGTTTGGAGCGACGCAATTTCGTCTGAAATGTTTCCGAAGGATTAAATGGGCAAAACATGTAGCATGTAG